CCCCCCCCCAAAATTTCGTGGTTGCTAAGTTGAAAGTGGGTGATGCTGAAAGAGTTCAAAGCACGGAGTAAAGAAGGCCCCGCAAATTAAAATTTAGCTTTCATTTACGCCTAGATCCAAATCACAACGTTATGAAAATTTTGGCAGGAGAATTATTGTCTTGGGAACCACAAGAACTAGGAAGCTGAAATTTTAGGGTAATGTCCCCTGCCTATGTGCAAACTCGCAAATTCAAATTTAGCTTTCATGTAGGCCCAGTCTCACGTACGGCCACATGAAAGTCTTGGCAGGGGTGGGGGAAGGGGAGGAGGGGAAATTTGCTGACTCGAAAACCAGATGAGCTAAAGGGGCTGAGTTTTAAAGAGGACGTTTTTTTGCAAATGCAGGGATCTCATAAACTCGAATCTAACTCTCATGCATGCTTAGGTCTTGCGAAAGGTGAAGTAAAATTTTTAGCGCGACAGTCTTTAACTCAGAAGCTAGGAAACCGAAATTTCGGAAGGATGTCCTCGTCCGGTTTGCAATTCAAAAGTTTCAAACTGAGCTTTCAAATATGCTTAAGTTTCACACATGTGTATTTGAAATTTTTAGAGGGAAATTTCGCAGCTTCGAAACCAGACAACACATCGACTATTTTTGTATACGCTAACATGAAAGACAGTGAAAATTCTCAACAGACAAATGTCCGCTGCGCGCAACTGCGCAAAGCAAATGATCGCGGCGGCTACCCTGGGGCGCGCCGTTATCTATTTCACTAAAAGACTATCATTCCAGTCAATAACAGGAGAGACCAAAACTGGGATTTATAGTATTATTGCATTTTGTTCCTATTATCATGTTATCTCACTAACGAAGGAAAAACTTCAGGCTCTAGCTCAAAAATAAACTTGCAGGACTTCCAACAAAAAAACTGTTGCAGCTCTCTACTTCAACAGATCAACACTTCATGTCATCATGATAGAGCTTTTTGAAACTGACCTTCATCTTTTTGATTGCAAGACCAAGACGTTTCAAGTGCCCAAGTTTTTTGATACCAATATCTTCAAAATCTTCCCATGTCAAATTTTGCACCTCAGCAACTGCATGGTAACCCTGCGTCGCAAATAAATCGGCGTATTCAGAAAGACCGATTAATGAAAGCCATTCTCTGCAGTGCATATCACAGCAATATGATATGTTCAATCTAATAATCGGCAATAAACCCAGGTAGCGGCACAATACGCTTGTCCGTACGATCGTGCGTTTTTGCGCTGAACTTGAAACAGTCAGTTCGTCAATAGTATGATCGGTTACTGCGTTACGCTTTAAAAAGTGCCCATGTTGTTTGTTTTCTGGCCTTTTATTGGACGCAGAGGATAAGTGCGTCGCTAAAACAGTAGAGTTGCACCATGGAGCAGCGTGAAATTTTAACTCCTAGGATGCATGATTACTGTCAAATTTTTTCGGTGATCAAATATTCGTTGAAAAGTGCAAACTGGACAACGAACTGGGTGTCGAGAAAGAGAGAAGTACGACTAAATCTGCAAAATGCACTCGTTTTA